TATGAAACACTTCCTTGAACACATAAAGCCAGAGATCGGGTTTCCCTCCAGTCCAGATCTAAGCCCTAGTAAGACAAAAGCTCCTGTATTACCTAGCACATGGCTGCTAAATTATTAAAGTGTCTCTTCAAGCTGAATGTATTCACTGGATAATTAGTCAACAGACGAAAACCTCCTTCTGTACAAAGCTAATGTTGACAGGTATTGTATCTTTTATGTGCTGTAACAAAAAGTATTTGCAGAGCTGATGGAGCACAAACATTGGAAATGACTCTCCCGGGAAGGTGCTCCAGGGACACGCGGGCCCTTTGTGAGATCAACTGAATCTCGTATTGCTTTACAGTAACTCCTAAACACCAGTAACGTCCTTATCCTACGGTTATTCCTCTTTCACAAGTGAGCAAAGTGCGTGGATACACGGAGCCGCGCTCGGCATTGAGGAACGAGGCCCATGGAGCTGGAATAGGTGCCCGGGAGCTGGAAGGGGTGCCCAGGAGCTGGAATGGGTACCCAGGAGCTGGAAGGGGTGCCCAGGAGCTGGAATAGGTGCCCGGGAGCTGGAATGGGTACCCGGGAGCTGGAATAGGTGCCCGGGAGCTGCTCCCGTGTCCCACGCAGCCCTGGGGCGCTCGGGGGCTCCCAGTGGCCGCGGGTGCCCCCGGCCCCGGCTGCGCGTGGACGCGTCGCACCGGGAGGCACCTTCCGAAATTAGAGCGGCTGCAAAGTTTCCTGCAGGCTTTAAACCTCTTCTGTGCTGGAGGCAGGAGAAGCCCAGCAGAGCAGGGGGATTGGCGAGGCCGGCGGAGAAGATCGCCCCCAGCTGCCGGCCCCGCGCACGCGCCGGCTCCGCGGCTCCGGCAGAGCGCCCCGTGGCTCCAGAAAGGTTCTGGTTCACACGCAGAGAGCTGTCACACACGTTCCTGCAGCTCTTGGATTAAAATATATTCCTGCGTGTATCCTCTTGTACACTGTATTTTGTGGCAGCTTAACACAACAGAAATGGTGAAGCTTTTCCTGTGATTTTAGAAATGTTTAAAGCAAACAGGCGGCAGCTGATTTCGGGGTGCCAGGTCTCTCATTGCAGCCTAAGCGAGGACAAGGCCTGCGCTGCAGAGCGAGCGCGGCGCTTCCCAAGAGGCCCCCAATGCTGCCACCTCCTGCCTCGCGCCGAGCCCTGCAGCGGGGTGACGCTGCGCTCCGGAGCGTCCCTGCGGCCGCACAACGCACAGGTCTGATCCAGACTCGGTTTTATCCCCATTTGTTCCATTGGTATCTTGCGCTGCAGCACTAGCGGCCTCGTGATGGCTCCTACCTGGTCTATTATTGAACAAGCCAGGGTAAACATCATATAGAAACTTATCAAGCCAAAGCGCTTTAGAAAACACAGATTCCTGTTGAAGTAAGTATCCATGCAAAAAGATCCGTGGATGGTACCTTGTGCAGAAGCTCAGCTGGGGTAAAAGTGACATTTCTGCCCTTTTTAACAGATGATTCGGCTCCCACAGCTATAGCTCTATCAAAAACTCTTAAACCAACAAATGTATCAACATCAGTCATGTATATGGATATAGGACTATCCAGAAAGTAGTACATTTAAGAAGAAAATCCATGAACAAAGCCCTTTTTCTTCACCTGGCTGCGTCACGGATCCAGAATCTTCCTGCGAGGTGGAACTTCCCTCTGCTCAGCCCGCTCTAGGCAGCGGCGGCTGTGAAAACCCCTTCCCCTTCCCCTGCAGGTGACAATCGGAAAACAAAGCACAGAAAGTTGGTATTTAAAAATCAGGGAGCCGATAAAAACCAGGGAGCCAAACGTTTTGCAGGAAGGTGAAAGGTAAATTAGCATTACCCCACACTCGACGTCACATTTAGCTAGTAACTCCAGGGATGCAAAAATGTGCTCAGTCCTGGTCCACCTCCATGAATAGCAACGACGCAGGAAGGGCAAATAAACGTTTTCCATCATTTCAAAGGCCAGAGGGACCTTTTGAGACTGGCTCGACATGACGCCGCGTAACGCACAGCTGCCCAAACACCTCGTGCACAGCTCACACCTAACCACGAGGGAGCCGAAGCGGCAATGGTCTGACTGACACTTCCCACAACAACCCAACCCCGCCCCATCCCCAGCCCAGATCTCACAGCAGAATGACTCAAACTGACCTGTTTTCCTGGGTGAGGAAGCCGCTCACCGCTTGGGCTGTTGCGTTTCAGCTGGCAGCAAGCTCAGACCCGCGGCCGCTCGCACACGTGCAAACGCGGCTCTGCCGTCACTGGGGAAGGTCTTGGGGACACGGACGTGGCCAACTCAGTGACACCTGAATAACTGACCCGTGAGACTATCAACAACAAGGACAAGATACCTCACATGAAAAATTTAATAAAATATCACTACTGTATCGGTCATCATGAAGGGGGTTGCCTTTATTCCAAGGATTATTTTTCTGCAGTAGAAGTATGAGCATGAACAGCAAGCCCTCAAAAAAACAAAGAACAAGACAAAACCAACCAAATGAGAACTTGTTCCTTTATAAATCTACCGTTCCAATAGTTGGCTTCAGCTAAAGCAGAATCCAGCGTTGCACTTTACCCAGGCTCTTTGGACAGGTAGGTGCAAGCTATTACAGCTGCAGAACATGTGCAACCCTGAGCTGCGTTTGGTGCTTGAAGGGATACAGCTGTGTGTACTGCAGCTGAGAACCTCACAATAATTCCAGGGAAGAGTAAATTGCCAATGCATTCTCATCACTTAGGTAATGGAAAACAAATCCGTTCAAAGTTTGACTCGGTCCTCCCAGCTGAACATATCTGATGTGCACAGGAATGTAATGGAAAATATGCCCTTCTAAAATTAGTCTGAACAATTAAGGCAATGACTAAATAATTCTGAACCCTCCTTGACAGATAAAGCGATTTCCACAGGCAAGTAAGTACTCAACTTCTTAATATAAAACTCTACCACCACACGCAAGGGCCTGAGCCCCTGCTGGCTCTGTAACAAGAATGTGTTTTGGGCAGCTCAGGACCTACCTCAGTAGGTGCAAGTCCACTGGATGCAGCACAGAGGTATCTGAGCAGCCAGAGTGAACCTGTTTTCTTGTCATTTTGTCCACGTTAAGCATTAAGAATGTTTTAAGCGAGGGAGGTAACGCTCATTCCTCCCTGCCCGCACCCGTGGGGGTTCTGCATGCGGAAGGTCAGAATTGTCTTCTCCTGCCCCCAGAGAAGGCCCGAGCTTCCCGCCGAGCCTGAGGCGCTTCCCGCCCAGCCCTGAGGCGCTTCCCGGCCTTCTGGGCCCGGGAAGGCTGGGACACCCCGCACAGCCCTGGACACAGCGACACTGAACAAACGAAAGGAACCGCCTGAGCCAACGACCCCGAGGGCTGCGACAGCCGCCAGCTCTGCCCTGTCTGAAGGAGACAACCGGGCTGCGAAGGTGAAACCAGGACACACAAAATAGATTTCTTCCTGCTGCTCTATCTCGAGAACAAAACCCAGGAAGGAGCTTCCCAAAGAGCAGCGGCAGCTTTCGTGAAGGTGCCTGAGACACTCCCCAAGCAACAACCCAGGAACCCTGGAAAGAAGAACTTGAGTTAAGGAACTTTCAACTGCAGCTTTGGAGGGAGCAGGACTCGTCCACGCTCGAGACAGTGTGAGGGGTTTGGCTGCTGAAAGTATTCATCCTCATGGAACAAAAGGCTTTTATACCTAACACGAGTCCTCTTAAACCACAGGGATGACTCACAGGGCATTTGCAACTGGAAAATGAGTTAGATTTCCAGACTATGCAGTTGGGGAGAAAGCATTTTGTTTCTAAAAACTCATCTGAATTGCAATGGAAGGACATGGAGCTGGTTTTAGAAATGAAGTGCAAAACCTTGCCTATATTATTAAAATAGAACTACCAAATATAAAAAAGGATTTAGTAAAAATTTTATTTGAAATGTAGCATGAATCCATAATCAGAAGTGTTACAACGTACAGTTTTACAGAGAATTTTTACAATATGACAGGTATCTCTATACATGCTGCCCTCCACTTTTATTTAGTCATTATCAAACAAATAATAGGTAACAGGAATAATAAGCATTCACTTCCAGACAGAAAACTTTGGCATGTGCACAATGGGCTAGTTAGAACTCAACAGTGGTAGATGCAAGTCACAGAGACCCACATTGCTTTAACTTTGCTTCACAGCGTTTTGAAGAGGGATGAAACTCACCCGCATTATCTTCTAGCTAATGCAAAAATGAAAAATTTTCACTCCGGATATCCCTGTTTAGGGGCAAAAAAAAAGGAAGAGAGATTTATAGAACCAGCTTTTTCTATATATAAAAAAAAAGGTCGTTTTTAAAGCAGTTTAGGCCACGAAGATTTTGCATATGTCATTTTGGTGTTGATCAAAACGAGACCTTTAATGCATTGCTCACATTACTGAACCACACTGCTTGGCACAAGAGGCAGCTCTCCTGGGGACTAGGACAAGCACGAGGAGGTGGCGGCTCCAAATCCACCTGCGTTGCTGCTGCGTCAGGAAGAGGAAAGGGAATTTGCACAGGGCCCATCCTTCCTGTCCTGAGTTTCTGTCACTGGGAGTGGCCACTCACACACCTATCAAATTCACCCAGAAAACGAGGGAAAACAACCTGCACGGTGCTTCTGCCTGGCATTCCGCAGACAACACTTCTACCTTAACAAATAGAAACCAATGGGAAAAAAACTGAATATTAATAATAATAATAATAGTATCAAGCCTCCTTTGAGAAGAATTGTTTGCAATTCTTCATGTACTTACAAAAAAAATACAGCATTTACACAACTTCTCTGGAACTATTATGATGAACATTTTTTAACATAGTACTTATAAAATAAATCCATAGATACAAATCCTTGCACTTCCAAGCGGGAATACTTAACCCAGATTTAGAGCTGTTGAGGCAATTACATTATTGCTGTGGAACAGACAGTGGTAAGTCGTGTGAATGTTACCTTTTCCTTTTCATACTCAGCAGAATATCTAATTTGAAAGATGTTCTCCAGCAAGTCAGAATACATTTAATGTGATTTATACAGTTCCTGCTAAATATTAGCGATCCGAAGTTGACTGGACCGTGGCGCAATAGGGCACAAATGGCAGAAGAGCAGTGGAGTTGGGGCAGGAATGGCAGGAAAACAGTACAGCAACACAAGTCAGACTCATGCTCATTACTTCTTATTCCTAGGCTTTAACTCTTCTGCTGCATTTCGCAGAAAAATGTAGTTTTTCTTCTGTGGATTATAAAATTCATGACCCTAAAAAAAAAAAAAAGTCATATGTACTTACCCTGCTCAAAGAGGAAATCATGTTATCATAAAGTACAAAACCATAGTTATAAAGTAAGAAAAACAGATACTTCAGTATTGCATTTTATTGGAAAGCTCTAAGGTTTTTGTGTGCCTATGAAATTCGGAAGACTCTCCTAGTATTTACAAAGAACACTGAAAGCCTCACAGGAAAAGGATAGTCTTATTTTACTGTCAACTGTCAGTAGAAATGTAAGTATAAACCTGTCTTACCTTTGACCAATCATAGCTGGAAGCATATGCAAAGATATTCCCGTTATGGTTGAAACAACAGGCAGATATTGGCTGGTCAAGTTGCTCTGATGTTTTTAGCTTTGTTCGTGCATCTTTATCCCAGAAGCTGAACCTACCATCAGATCCTACTGTTGCAAGAGTACCGTGGACAGGATGAAATGCTATTCCGTTCACCTGCAAAGCCAAGCAAAATGACATGCAAAACGACATGCAAAACACCCTGCATAGACAGGAAATGGGAACACTCAACACGTCCGCTCAATAACAAGAGAGCAAACACATACAGAAGACTTTTTGCAACTATCTACAGATGGTTCTTATTTTTTTTAATATTTTAACAGATACACTTTTGAAACAAAAGCCCAAAACAACAAGCATCCTTTTCTGCAATAGCTAGGAATTAAATGGCATAATCCCATTTCACAAAAACATAAGGATGTATTCCATTATGCACTAAGTTAACAAGTGGGATAGCATAAAAAG